ACCCCAGATGTCAATTTGTTCCCTTCACCCCATTTGCTTTCGTTTGAGTGCTGAGGGCCAAAGTTCCAAGACCCACCACCCGTAGACCTGTTATTGTTATCCCAAGAATCATTTCTTGACCCATTAGGTTTTTGTACAGAACCTCCTTTCCAGGAGTCCTCTCTATCCTTTCCATTGTTCCCGTGGTTTCCAGAATTGCTTTGTCCAGAGACTGTGTCAGTTCCAGAAGGCCCCCTAGCTGTACCCCAAGATCCAACATTCCCAGGCTTTCTTTCTCCAGTGCTTTGTGAAGGGGCATCAGTGCTCCTGGAGGGGTTCCCCAAGCCCATTTCAAAGGGCATTCCCTTATTCTCCATAGGGTTTGGTGAACTTAAGTTCAAGGAGTTAGTGTTTCCATTTTTTGGTCCATCAGTGTTATGAATTTGAGCCTGTTCTCTGCTAGAGACAAAGTTAACACCCGCATTTTCCATCTTTGACTGCTGTTCCCTAGGGGTCTGACCTACTGTGCTAATCTGTGCATTGGAGTTACCATTATCAGACTCCAAAGTCCCTTTCCTAGAACTGCCCTCTTGAACCAGTGCTGGCCAAGCAGATGGGTTACTATTTGGGTTAAAGTTGCTGAAGCCAGAACTGGTGCCGATTCTCTCCTGCCCAGTCATATTCCTCCAGTTTCCTAGTCCATTGTTACTCTCCACAGCAGGGTTGGAAGATTGAACAGATTTAGTCTTGGGGTCAGATTTCCAGGCCCCAAGATTACATTCGCTCCCAGTGCTTCCAGACTGGCACTGGCTTCCTTTTCCTTTGTTACTAGTGGTGCTTCCTGGCAGAGTGCTCTTCTCTGAGCCAGGATTTGAGGCACTGTTGTTGTCGGTGGTGTTTTCTGAAGAAGACTCAGCGTCTTTGCTGGCAATACAAGGCCACTCTTCCATGTCAGACCCGTCTACAATCACCTTGTCCCAGATGTGAGTTGGGTTGGCGTTGGTGCCGTTGTTGGAGGAGGCTCCAGGACCCCAAGTGGAATTTGCATAATTTGAAGCAGCAGCACCTCCAATTGCTGAATCTAAGAAGAAAAAGGTCATTGCTCTGCGTTACTATTGACAAGTCCTTTGAAGACCTCAATTACAGACACCACCAATTGTCCTTTCCACTTATAAACACAGTTTTCCAAAACCTTCCAAGCTGTTTTTAGAAGAACATTTTGTGAAAAATGGCATATGAGACTCTTGCTAAAAAGCAGTATTTCACAAAATCCCTCCCCATGATTTTGTACACACTTAAATTCACTGATGTCTGCCACTTTTTACTAACATGCCTGGTTACTTAAAAAGTTAACTAACACGTGAATGGATTACACTGAAGTTAATATAATAACCAGGGATGACCCAAAAGAGAAATCTTTCAAGATCAGTTCAAGAAAATTATTGCAGTTACCGAGCAAAATTCAGCAGTAAAGAAAATTCACATCTGTGAATGTATAATTAAAGTAATGAAACGTATACTAAAATCAGCATTCCCTAGTTATGCAAACAACGTGCAAAAGTATTCTGTGACTGCAGAAGCAGAGGACGCTGCAGAAAAAGTACCTACCAAAAGGGTGTAGAGTTAAAATTATCCACTCTTTAGTTCATCGTGTGCCCAATTCCTAGTTGGTTTTCAAACTACAAATTCCCTTCCTCCCCTCACTGTACAAATTACAATAATTTTGAAATGTTACTGAATGTCATATCAGTCCAGAGGTAAACTAAACTAAGCTAGCTATTTACTTGCACCTTCATTCAATAGCCATCTTATTCTAACATTTATTTCATTGCTGAATTTAGCACAAACATTCAACGAGACCTGAACAAACTTAAATCAGATATGACATGAATTAATTCCACTGCAACACTAGCACAGTCAATACTGGGTTCATGGCAAATCACACCTATGAAATTATGTCACTCATTGTTGGTACTAAAGCATCCTGGCAGCCTCGTCCCTGCAATCTGTACTGTCCCCCTGGTGTTATTCTTTAAAAATGAGCCTGGTAAGTCATGTTCTCCATTTTATGCTACTTGTCATTTTTCTGGATGTTTCTACCACAGGGACCTAAAATTTCCTGTAAAAGATTTCCTTATGTGAAGGCTGAACTTTCCAATTCTTTCTACATGAAGATCTTCTCTAATGAGTCTCGGTACCACTGTGGTAACTCTGTGCCTTCAGGCGAGCTCATTTGGTGAGGCATGAAATCTGTAGAAATATCCGTATCACGGTCAACTTGATTTCATATGCACTACTATCTGAGTACTGTCTGGCGTCACAGCAGCTGCCCTGAAGGTAAGTCACACCCCTCTAAAAATAATGCAATCCTGTTACACATGCTTCTTTGTTTAAAAAAAATCTAACTTTATGTATCCAAGAATAAAGATAATAGGAATTTTTACTTATTGATATTTTAATTAGAGAACAAAACTGCTGTCAGCATACATTTTATACCTCTTCAGCTCATTAACCAATTTGATGGGTTCTCTCTTAGTCAATTTCCAGATTTTCAGTAGATAAATGAGTTGCCAGTCTGTAACTTTATTTCTTGTTGGCAAGGATACACACTCTATACCAAACCTTGAATCTTCTGGTAAGTGTTAACCAAAGGCGGACAAAACTGTTTTCACCTTCCCTTCCTAAACTATCAGGGTAAGGTTATGGAGGATATGCAGCTCACACCCCTTCAGAGTCCAACCTAATCCTGATATAATGGGGAAAATAATTTTGGGTGGTGCCACAACAACAGGGAACATGGCTCCATACTGAAATGTACTGGAAATCCAGTTGCAAGTATGGGCTCCAAAGCATGAGAAAAGTATCAGCAAGAACCATCTAGAAAGGCAGACTGAGGAGACTAGTTAAAGATTGCAGGGCTCTCCCTCAAACTGGAGGAATGTTGCCTGTAAAATGATTACCACTCTCAGCAGCAGTTCTGTGTACACTCTGATAGTAAAAGCATTTTGTAGATGCACTCTAGAGGCTGCCTTGCACCTAAATGAGCATGTTCTAAAAACCTCAAAGACAGCGATGCCGGCAACTCTCAGAATATGCTTTGATCTACTTAGACAAAACCCTGAAAAGAAACTGCTTGTCCTCATATTTTTACCACCATACTATGTCCTCAAGTCGTTTTGGGAATTTAAGAGAAGGGCTTCATCCTTGTAAAACAGTGGCTAGGGGCTCCCTTAGCTTTTAAGATGATCTTACCTAGAAATGAATGTGATGGAGAGAAGGTAAGTTACTCATCTGAGGTGAAAATAGGCTATGGATGAACTTGAAGTGAACAAACAGCATTGTACTGCTTTTACTGGCAAGGAAAGCTGTGAGGCAGGTCAAAAATAAATGCCTGGAGTGCAAAAACAAACAAACCCCCTCAAGCCCCCACTTCTGGCTTAGGTTACTGCCTCTCACAGAGATGTTAAAAAGAAACAATAACCTCAGAAAGCCATAGCCTCTCTTGAAGGCTCTGAGAAACCATGAGATTATTTAGTAGAAGCCTGCACTTCTATGAAGGGATTAGATCAGTGATTCTCAACTGGGATGGCGAAGCACCTCAGGGTGCTGCAAGAACCTTCCAAAAATGCCACAGTCCCCAGCATCTGTGATGGAAGTAAAGTGACCACTCCTCCTCCCCCCTAAAGCTGGGTGCCCCACCACACTGCAGACAAGCAGTGGCTGGCTGCTACCTGCCTCCTAGCAACCTCCTCCTGGTCATCCCTGTGTTCCCAGCAGTGTGAACTGCTGTGCATGTGCATGGGGGGGACATATGACTGCATTTTTCAGTCCAGTTCATTCCCCCCCACCCCACCACTGCATCCATGCTCCTGGGGCTGGAGGCAGATATGATTCCAGACACCAGCATCAGAGTCACTGGAAGTGCAGTAGCAAAGGCAGAGGCTGCACTTGCCCCTTCAGGTACTCATCAGGGGCAGGGAGGGGGCAGACTGTGGAAAAAGCAGAGTGTGGTGGGGTGAGGTCCTGCCCCCATCACCCTCATCTGGCACCAACTAGATTTTAACTCAGTGTTTCTCAACAGGGCACTGCTAAATTCCAAACAGTTAGGGAGGCTGAAAAATCAATGCCTGCTACAATAGATCATACTCAAATAGAAGAGCATTAAAATATCCCTTCACAAATATCATGATTGTAAAAACAGAGCATGTGGCACAGCAGTGCATGGGAGTACCAGCACCATGCAGTGGAGGCAGCACCTGCCACAGATTCATAGATTGTATGGGGGCTGGAAGGGACCTCACAAGATCATCATCAGGTCCAGCCCCCTTGCACTAGGCAGGAAAGACAACAGGGGCCAGGTGACACCAGCGAGGTGACTGTCCAGACTCCTCTTGAAGATTTCCAGGGTAGATGATTGCACCACCTCTGGAGTGAGTTTATTCCACAGTCTGGACACCCTAGCTGTGAAGAAGTTTTTCCTAGTGTTAAGCCTGAAATGGTCTTCCACAAGTTTGTGGCCATTACTTCTGGTTTTCCTCAAGGGTGCCCTGGTGAACAGTTACTTAACCGAGCCCTTGATGTACTCTACTGATATACCAGTAAGCTGCTACCAAGTCCCCTTTCAGCCTTCTCTTTTTTTAGGCTGAAGAGGCCCAAGTCCCTCAACCTTTCCTCGTATGGCTTGCCTTGCAACTCTTTGGTTCTTCTCCAGATTCTCTCCAGCTTTTCCACGTGGTGTGGGTACCTGCCATGCAGCACAAGGCAAGGCGCGGGGGGATGCGTAGCCTACAGCCACCTGTAAGTTAGGCAGCCCTGGATTAAATAAATTTGCTCAGTAGAAATCTAGGGAATATGGTGCTGAAACTAGCTGCCAAGGCTAGAGAATAAGTCTGCTTTAGGTTTCTCATCTCTGCTAACATCAGTGTAAAACTATCAGTGTCAATAGAAGTAACTACTTTTTGGTAAACCCTTCCTCACCCCCCAAACCAAGCCAAAACAAAAACCCTCCCCCAAACCCTGAAATCTTGAGTTCTGGAGAGACTTAGCATAAAATACGTAACAAGTATTAGTACATTATATATTATTTGGTTTTCTGTTCTACTTTTAAAGTTCTCTATCATACACCTGCAGAAGCTTTGCTATTCAAAGGCTTCTGACTTCTCAATAATTTTCCAGAAGCTTTTGAAGAAATTTTATTTAAGATAACAGCTGTAGGATCCAACCCACTAGCTGCATGTACAGCGGTGAAATATTTAACATTAAAGTGATGACAGAGGCTCATAAGAGGCAAAGGTAGTAACTTAAACATCTAGAAGATACGTGTCAAAATCTCCTAGTCTCATTCAGATTTAAGTCAACAAAATTAAAGGTCTGTATTATTCAATTATCTTGCTCATCTTAAGTATTACCGACTGTGGACAGAAAGCACACTAGCAATGTTCACCTACTGGGTAATACTGTCAAATAAGCGTATGACTCTTCTAGAAGAAAACTGTAGATCCCAATTGTGAAAAACAGATCTATCTGCACAAGATGACCTATTATGAAATCCTTCAATATGCTTTTATATGAAATGTTGCTGTTTCTGCTTGTTTTATCTAAAAGCATGTTTATCCTGGCACAGAAGAAGGATTGTGATGCAAGTGCAAAGGTTTCATGTAGGCAGTGACTTCCAAAAAGACAGACCACTTCTCAGGAACTAAATATTTCACCAAGACCTTCCTATGCTAAATGTTAGTTAACATTTGTACAACTTCACTTGAATACACAAGGGGGGAAAAAGGCTTTGAATGCAGGCTGAATTTCTCTTACTATCAGTGATAACACATGTAAACTGGATCTTCCTATATTTTAGAGTGTTAGTTGGTAAAGATTTGGGTTGGACCCTGGCTCTGCCCTGGATACAATCAGAGGGACCTTAGAAGAGAATGGTAATTTAAAAAGGAAAATCTGCAAACAGAGTTGGGTCTACTGTATAAAAAGGGAGTTGACATCGAGGGACAGTTAACACGGTGCTAAAACTGCAAACACAGGTAAGAGCAGCCCCAAGCAACCTCACCCTCAAATGCCATTATTTGTTTAAAGTACAAAGACTGAACATAGCACTTGGAAACAAACAGTTCTTCTGATACCGAGGGCTATAGCCAAAGAATGGGAAGCTGTTCCTAAAGTACTGAAGACAACTTTCAGAAAACAAACCTACTGTAACCCCCTTATTTCATTGATATCTGCTTCCTTTGATCCTTAGGAAGATAAAATAAGCACATACAACACAGCACATACATTACCGAGTTTATATGGAGCCTACAAGATTTTGCTGTTTGCCACACTGACCTGTAATGGTATCATCTGATCAAGAACATTTATCTTTATAGCACCTTTAACTTTCATGTGATCTTGTATTTACTTTCATTTCCCCCCGCCTCCCTGCTTGAATGGAGAGGGTGTGGCCAAGCCACAGCCGGGAGCTAGCTGGAGGATCTGGGGCAGCGCCTGCCAGGCTGAGGAAGGGGTGAGTGGGGAAAAAGGTAGTGGTATTCAGTGCATGAAAGCCTGAACAAGAATAGTTCTCTCTCTGAAGCGAGCATTATTGAACAGAAGGAAATAACCATGCAGCGTCCTGCTGGCTGTGATCATGGACTATAAATTCCAGAAACACCTGGAAGCAGGAAGAGGAAGTGAGAGACAACCCTGCAGAGTCCTGCTGTTGTGCCTCTGGACTGCAAATCCCAGAGACCTCAGGGGCAGCAGGAAAAGGCAGTGAACACACAGCCTATGCTGGGATGCAGGGGGACTCTGATTTAACTTCAACCAGGAAGGGGTGTGGGGCAGAAGTTTCATAAAATGGTTTGACCAAATCAGTTAAGACTGATACTACATTCAACCAGGTTTATGTTATATCAGTTTCAGTCTTTTTGAAACTGGTTTATGTGCACTGAGCTTCTGTTCTGTTACGGGTTTAAAACAGTTTCTGAAGACTTAACGGTTTGTGTGTAACTTCTGTCCCTAGCATAAGAGTACACTGAGCACCAAGCACCTAAGGACCGTCACTCTGAAGTTGATAATCTGTCACAATGTTGTCTTTATCTTGTTGTGTTCTTACACATTATAGCAGATAAGATCACAACTTCTAAGCACAAATAAAATCAACAAGGATGGCATTTCTATACTGTAAGTTACAAATATTGTAGCTAAAAAAACCCAGAAGTCTTTTATAAAACAGGATGGTTACAATAACTGAGATAAAAGAAGATCTATTAAAAAGTAGACAGTTCAGATCAGGGGTGCTCAACCCCCATCCTGCAGGCTAGAACTAGCCCATGGAGCCATGCTATCTGGTCCACAGGGATCCTCCCAGGTCCAAAAACTTGGCAGTGGGGGAGCAGTGGCAGCAACTGCCACTCCCTGCTGCCAAATTTCCAGACCCATGGGGAGTCCTGTGGGCCAGATAGGACACTAGATTAGCACAGAGGTGGCCTAGTGTCTGGTTCAGGGCACAGGGGCCAGCTTGAGGCAGTGCTGGGCCTGATTCTGCAGTGTGTTGTTGAAGGGAGGCAGCATGGGGCCCTTATCTGGGGTTGTGGGGTCCCGATTTAGCAGTGCACGGCCCAATCCTGGGGCATAAGATCCGATCTGGCCTATGGACTGGCTTCAGCCCACTCATTTGAACCTTTTGGTGCTGCAGGCCAATACCACTATTTCAGATCATAAACTAAGGGATAGTTTCTAACCGATATCTGCTTTCACAATAGTGTTTTGTCAACAGGGTATATTACTGTGCAGAGTGGGCCACAACCCCCTAGAGACAGACTAGCTACCATCAGAAATAAGGATAGAGCACCAGGTTATACGGCCTATTGCTTTGCTCCAATGTAGCAATTCTGATGATTCAGTTTTTCATGAAACAAATCAGTATTTTAAAGAAGTTAAAGCCCAGCACTATCTGGGAAGAGTTACACTAAAAGCAGAAAATAAAACTCCTAAACTTCAGAAAAAGTTAATACATTATGTTATAAAATATGTGAGAACAATTTTTGACCAATCCTTCTATGGCTAAGCATCCATACCTGTTGCAGTCCCACTGTCGCTCTGCAGCAGTGCTCCTGTCACTGGTTGTGCGTTGCTTGGGTTTGCTCCAGGTGCTGTTGAGGGAGGAGGCCCTGCCCCACCCCCAAGGAGCATACAGGATGGCGGAGGGGGCTGCCCACGTTTCAGTAACACTTTGTGGTCCTGCTGGCAACGGAATCGCGGCGGCACCTCCCGAGGCATGTAGCGGGCGGCGCTTGGCGGTTGTCCGTTCGGCACTGCCACCCTTTTGGCATTGTTGCCACCATTGACTGGTGGCGATGGAGAGTTGCCAATTGGGCTGGCGGCCACTGGTTGGCTTAAACTTGGTTTCGTCACTTCGGGCACTGAAAATAAAAGGAAAGACATTCAGAATTTTGTAAATTAAAATAACAAAAAAACCCCCCAAAAAACACAGATTTCAGAATTCATTGTGGTTCAACTTTGATACATCCACTCCTCTCTCACAGTACTGTGCAACTTCAACCCAATCAAGAAACCAGCCTAGTTACATAAATATGCTACTTCCACCTATTTTCCTCCCTCCTCCACAAATTACTAAGACTAAAGGGATAAAATCCTAGCCCCACTGACTTTCTCACCTGAATTTTTACGATTGTTCACCAGAGCGCCCCAAGGAATGACAAGGTTGAACAGTTATAAAAACTCCTGCAAGACTGTTTCAGGCTGGACACAAGGAAGAATTTCTTTACTGTCCAAGCCCCCAAGGTCTGGAATAGCTTGCCATCAGAAGTGGTTCAAGCACCTACATTGAACACCTTCAAGAGAAATTTGGATGCCTATGGGGATCCTATGACCCCAGCTGACTTCCTGTCCCTTGGGCAGGGGGCTGGACTCGATTGTCCGAGGTCCCTTCCGGCCCTAACGGCTATGAAATTCTATGAAACATCTAGGGACAGAAGCAGGAGTTGGCAGAGAACTTTCTTGAGTAAAAGGTAAGTTTTAATTCCAGACTATTTGTGATTAATGTAAAGTTGGTGCTAGTTTTCCTGCCCCATCTCAATTTTTGGTTGTTTCAGCAGCAGCGTTTTGGGCCACCACACGAGAAATCTGAATTTAGATCCCAAGCTTTTGCCTTGCTCACTAGGTTTATGTTTTCACTAAACAAAAGGGATAGTATTTCTTAAATTTTATTTTTATTGGGATAACTAATGTAAGTTCTTTCCCAGAAAGAAAACTAAATGACAATAAGTGATAAAGCCTTGTTTCCACCATGGCTTGCCTCCATCAGAGCCAGGTGGGGTGGCATACTGTTGACCCGATCTAGTAAGACTTAAGTGAAGATTACCTGTGCCTGGTCTTCACTAGGATTCTACAGCAAAATAGTAAACTTTCATCACTACCTCAATGGGAACCCCCCCCCCCAAACTGATTTTGCCAGATGGCCTTAATGAAGGAAAGGACTTGCTCTGAAGCAGCTCACTTTAGCTTACTTGGGAATGGCTTTTATAAGGACTGAAGACAGGCAGTCAAGATGGGTTTGTATGTAGTGGTAGGTAGCCTCTTTGAGGACCTTTTGGTAGAGATGAAATAACAGCAGCAAAAAAGTGAGAATCCTAGGAGGACCTCAGTCTTTCACTTAACTTAGCTGTCTTCATCTACTTAATTGGTTCCAGAAATGGTGTACCTGCGCTCCTCTATTCTCTACACTGTCTAACATGAACCCAAAGATGTGGACCAACCATGTTTACTATAGAATAAAATGACTTTTCCACAGTAAAAGTGAAGCAAGCACGTGACATACTATGGAATGAGTCAGCAAACAAGGAGTAAATATAAACCAGTATAATTTACACTGCTGTACTAGCTGTGGGTGTGCTTCTGTAGTTAATTTCATCCTGAGGTTGCCATTTGGTCAGTATAAACTCGGTCATCAATCATAAGGGCCAGGTGCTGTTATAAAATACACTATGGGCAGGCAACTTGGAATGAGCTACTTATGTTTCCATTCCTTGCAACACAGTCAATTTACTAAGGAGTTAAACCTGGGGCAATTTACTCCACCATAATCAGGTACAGGAATTCTTCCATAGCAACTGAATATGTTGCATCCCAAATGTATTTCTGTGAACAGCTAGAGATTAGGATCTCTGACATGCCAATCTACACTTCACTGCCCCATAATGAAAGAAAAATATTTTAGTTGTAAAGTCAAATCACTTCTACATACCCCTCTGCTGTCTTTTTCGTGGCTGCTTCTCCACACTACTTTAAAAGCAATGAGGTACAAATCAAGTTCAAGCTTATTTTAAAAAACACTTTGAGAAATTCAATATTTATCCATCATCCTTGCCTTGACTTCATTTGATAGTCAAGTCTCTGTGCTTTCCTCTCTCTTAATCTTTTATCATCACTTAATTCAGTGTGCTGGCTAAACTAAAAATTCAATAAGGTCATTTTGGTGTTCTTTCTTAAAATAGTATTTCTTCCTCTTCCTTTCCACATGCCTTGTCTGTTTCAGGAAGTGGCTACACTTCTGGAAAACTAGACTTTTGAAGAATTTTCACCATTAGCCTCTTCTTGAGATATAGTCTCCAGCAAGAAGGCATTAATTTATTCATTAAAGTTTTTTCTTCTCCAAACATTTTAAGGGCTGACAGGGAATGTTACCTCATCTTCTTTTTGATGGTTATAGCTTTTGTTTCTGCTGATTCTTCATTCAGCAATACCTCCACTCGGAACATTAGTCTTCCTCCCTTTATCATTCAAGAATTTTAGTCAAGGACAAGGACAAGATCCAAAGCAATTAAGTCTCTTACCTTTGGTTTTTTGCTCTGTGACCTGAAAATTAAAAACAAGAACATAAATAAAAGCAAAAATAACCAAGGTTCTTTACAAAGAATCGAGCTGTTCTACGTTGTAGCCTTCACTTATTAGTACAAGACCAATCTCAGTATGATAAAAAATTAACTTTTTAGACTTCTCATCAGCTAACTTGCTTAGATAAATGCAGAGAAAGTCTTCAAGAGTACTTGGGACTATTATCATCTCCAACTACTGAAGTAATACTTGCAGAGAGGCTATAGAAGGAAGTTGCTTCTTTGATGATGATTAGCAGTATTTTTCCCTACCAAGAACTGTAACATTTTAAAGCACAAACAACTATTACTCCCACAATGCCTTTTTACAACTTTTAGAGGAAAGATCTCCTTTAACAAATGGCAGAGCATAATGAAAACTAAAAGTAGAGAATGTCAGCTACTACAGCATGCGTTAGCACCTGTGGTACCTTATCAATGGCAAGAAGCTGCCTGCAGGCACAAATGTAAGTGGAAGAAACCATCTCTGTTATTTTCCTGTTCACCTTCTTCCCTACTCCTCTTCTGCAAAAATCTGTAATACCTGCAACACCTCCAGATTTAACATTTTCCTGAATGTAGCAGGCTTCCTAGAGGAGACTTACCAGAAGCTAGCCATCATCCCCCAAATGGCTCAATTTTTGCTTTTGCTGTACTTCTGCATTGTCCCCAACAGCCTAGACTTCTAGCTACAGTGGAATCAAATGCCACTAGAATATTCTCTGAAATTCTTTGTATTGTGGCATGTTTTGCACCTATTAGTCATGAGCTCCTCTACAGAATAAGGGAAAACCCCTAAGACTGTCATGTGTCAGGTTTTATGTTACCTCTTCTTTAAAGAAATTGCTGAACCAGTCCATAATTCTAGATGGTGCAGTCGCAGCACAGAATAATGAAAGCAAAAGTAAAAGGCAATTTATTTTTGCACAAGCCTAGCCAGATCCCTTTTGTACAGTAAAGAACAATAAAAGGAAACACATGCCTCAATTGCTCATGACACTGTTCCACTTTCGAAAGAGGATCTGTGGGATGCATGAAATGGCATATACCCCAAACTATAAAAAGCCCTATCTCCCCAGCTCTGTAACTTCAGTCTATATATGTGGCTCAACATTTTTGGAATCAAAACACCCCTCATTGGACTCAAGGCACCCTACCCATAACTTCTGGGAATTGAGTGGCACCACATTTCAAAAACTAATTTATATGTTACAGTGCTTACCTCCTTGCAGAGGAGTTGAGCAGTAGAGGTGGGGGATCATCCAGGCAGGGACAAGTCTGAGAAGGAATTTATCTACTCAGCTTTTCTGCTTATCAGCTCACAAATCACTCATCTCCTCAAACCTTGTGGCACCCTTCAAAGGACCTGGCAGCACTCCAGGGGGCCCTGACACCCTGCCCTAGATGATACAGCAAAAACATGCTGCCTCTCAAACCAGATGTCCTTTTATCCCAGGCTAGCAAAAACACACATGCATGTCTTAAAGTGTGTTCCGTTTCAAATGATTTCCCATCCTCTCCCTACAGATACAAAATTGTAAAGGATACAACTATGACATTTTTTACATGAGGAAGACCAAAAGAAAACGAAAATCCCAACCTATAATGCTGCCAGGTTTACTTTATAGTCTGAGAAAGCAAATCTCCCTTTTTGTTCTTATTCATCACTCCAAATTGCGAATGATGAGATACCCAACTGCACTACAAAGCTTAGGAGCCATCTACCTGAGGGAAACCTGGACTGCCAGCACTTGGAGGGACTACACTGACAAGAAAGGAGCAGACTTCAGACACTAACATCTTCTGACAAGCATGAAAGAAATCCTCCCCATCCCCCCCCCCCCCCAAAAAACCCCCCCCCCCCTCCC